TGTGTGTGTGTGTGTGTGTGTGTGTGTGTGTGCAGCGTGCACTGATGCAGATGAAGTGTTCTGATTGACCCGTATGGAGTCGTTCTAATCCATACAGAGTTATATCTGTGAGGACGACTCCTCGTATGAAGACATTATTCCCTCGACACCAGCAGCTATAAATCACCACGTCCTCCTCGTCAATACACAATCAATGGTCCTCTGAACACACACACACACACACACACACACACACACACACACACACACACACACACACACACACAGTAATGAAATGGCTGGTCGACTCCTCTACAAACTCAAAGCTCCTCTGTGTGTCTCTCTCTCTCTGATCGCATCGATCAAACTATTAAAGCTGAGAACTCACATCATGTCGTCTCATCAGCTGAGTGTTGAACACAAACCGAGCAAGCAGCCGATACCATGTCACCTCAGAGAGGGCTGTGGATTGTGGGTAGTGTAGTTTACGGAGAGATTAGAGTCATTAAGGAGAAGCCTGTACGTCTTTTCATCTATCGATGTTTTCCAGAGAACACGGGACACTTTATCATTATGTGTTGTTGTTGTTTAGTGGTGCGTTCACTGTCAGCGTGTTCAGCCTCTGCAGTGTTTCCTGCTTTAATCTGACCAATAAGATGTGTCCCGATTCAGGGACAATGGCGCAACTAGACTGTCCCATGTTGAAGACGACAAACGGCTCCTTTCATCCCGGAGCAACTAAAGCTCCGACCGGTTGATCCCTCACAGACCAACATCCCAGGATTCATTGCAGTGAAACGATGAAACTAAAACAACAAACGAGCTCATTTTGAAAAGTATGTGCGTTCGTTTGGTGACAGAATAATCAGTGAAGTTCAATCTGAAATGGGAAAATTCACATGAACGTCACTTCAAGACAGAAAGTACAAACCAATTAACATAAAGTACAAACCAATTAACAGAAAGTACAAACTGCTCGAAGTAGAACATTTGAATGTGAACTTATCAAATGTTAATCTGACAAGATGCTTCAAATGTGTCTGAGAACTGTGGAACATGTAGAAGATGAACGTATCTGATATCCAGCTGTAAACTACACGGAGATATTCTGGTATCAAACATGAAACCAGAATATCATGCGGACGTGTCACAGGGTTTTTATTTTAGTGGCAAACGTGACAAATAAAAATAGACTTTGAGGGAATTTCTACGAGTCCGTCCATCACAGAGACGGATCGTTATCGGTTCCTCCTGCGGCTCCACGCT